ATTCGGTAAACATGGGCCTAGGTGTGTTGAATAATATTAGGAAGTATCAGGACAGTAAGATCCAGCCCAGACAAATTCATCCTGTTCTGTTTGAGACAAGGCCTGTCTCTGTGTAACAGCAGACTGGAGCTTTCTTCTTTTATCCACTGGGTTCTCTCTTTTCCTTCTTTTCTGCTTTGGACTGATATCAGAGCATTTCCACTTGCTTTCATGTTTCACACTGCAGGCGATGAAAGCTGTCAGTCGAGAGTGCAAAAGGCTAACAGTCATGGAGTTTTAAAAGCTTTACAAGAAGAATTATGGATTTAAGAGCGGTGACTCTCAGGGAAGAAAGGAGGGCGATGAACTTCCACCTCGGAAAAAATGGATGAGTGTGTGTCCTGGTGGGTAAATGGTTAGAAAGGCTGTAGAAGTGTCTTTGGGCAGGACAGGTAAAAACATGCTGCTCATTGTAAGAGTGGATTTCAGTGTGTGGGCTATGTTGCTGGGTTTACCCAGACTGGTCTGAAAAGAGACAAAGAACATTTTAAGATGCAAACATTGCATAAATCTTCCAATCATGGTGCAGTTTCCTGTGCTGTGATTATTTTATAAACTATACAGTTAATAAAATAAGAAATGAATAAAAGAACATTACATTTAAAATAGTAAGATGACATATTGAACATTGAGACATTTTTTTTAATGCATTAATTAATTTATTGGCTAAAAACAGTTTCAACACTATAAACAGGACCAACAAAAGACTAAAAAAACTTGTGTAATACATTTAAGGATATCTTACTACTAATTATATTTCTTAGCAAGAGGCTGAAGTAAAGATGGGGAGTTCATGACCCTATAATAAGCTGGTCGGGCAAAGCGCTCATCAATTAAACAATATTTAAGATATAAATATTTTCTTGAACAGAGGCTGGGTAGTGTGATCACCGGACTTTCAGATAGTACTGCGCTAAAAACAGACATCATTCTGGAAATAAAATCACTGTACGGGCTCAGCAACACTGATGAAAACTCACAGTCAGTGGACACAGTTTACTGCAACACACAAAGAAAAAAACCTTTATACAAAAAGATCAAGCAACACTTTCTCTGGGCTCCTTTGAGGGGAATTGAAGCGAGGTAAGCGACTAACCTTTGGCCTGACCATTAAAATCTAAAAACAAATCTTTCTGGAATCTGTGGGTTCCATTAATACTGTTGTAATCTTTACAGGTTTCACAACATCTGCGGGGGAGCGGGGGAGGATGACGGACAGACCTGGCGCACCTAAACGTGTAGTGAGGGTGCGCTGGGAATGCCTGGCAGAGGCCCCGGTCCATGAGATCTTCAACTCCCACCTCGGGCAGAGCTTCAACAGCATTCAGAGGGAGACTGGGGACATTAAGTCTGACTGGACCATGTTCAGCATCTCCATTACTGAAGTCACTGTACTGAGCTGCGACCGCAAGGTGGTGCCTGTCATGGTGGTGACCCCCGAACCAAATGGTGGACACCAGAGGTGAAGAAGCAGTCCTATCAGGCTTGGTTAGCATGTGGGACTCTGGAGGCAGCTGACAGGTGCCGACAGGCCAAGAACATGTTCAGCTTCATCTTCAGGAAGCTTTTGGCTTTGCTGTCACAGGAGACGCTCATGTCAGATCAACATCTTCTTTTTCAGCTCTATGTGATTTTATCTGAACACAAAGTTGATGTGATGCAGTGCTGACTTTCCAATACTTGAGCCAGTCAAAATGTGAGACGGGGACGAGAGATCAAATGCTGTGCTGTCCATCATAAAATGTCTCATCACTACATTCAAATACATAAAAGGTTACTACTGCCACAAATTTCAGTAGAATCTGCTCAATGCTAACATCGATTGACATTGTAGTTCAGTGAAAAACAAAAAATCAATCCCTTATTTGGGAAACATTTTTAACGACCATCTGACATTTGTCAGCTGATCACCGATCTGTTGGAATTACCAAAACCGTCTTCTTCTAACAGCATCTTGAAAGCTCATGGGAGTGTGATATGGTAAACATCTCGAGTTAGCACAGCATGTCACCGCTCACTTTTGACATCACCATATAACAGTTATTGTAACCTACCACCTACCAGCAGGGAAAATCCCTGTACTGTCCCTCGAATACTCTCGGTATATGAATATGTGCCTGCGGTTGTCAGCGTCTGCTGCTTGATTAGACTGGAGGATATATTCATTTGGATAAAACATGACATTATCACCTGTGTGGCCTACTGTACAACACATATGTGGTCTCTCAGTGACTTTGACAACTGCTTTTATATATGAAATTTGAGCTCGTATACCTTTCTGATTATATCACACTGTCGTTATCTTCCTGTTAGATAACTTATAGACTTTACCACTCAGGTTATATCACTGCCACAAGTTTAATATGCAAGAATATACAATAATTTCCTTGTCTGTTTAACTGTCACAGTCATCAATACAAAGCCCACACTGGATACAGTTTGCTTTTGTAGCCCACATATTTTCTCTGTGTGGGAGTTGGGTGTGTGCATGCAAATATACGGCTGTTTAAAGTGTGTGAGTGGGGTGGAGAGAGACGATGAGTGTGCAGCTGTGAGAAAGATAATATGGTTGGAATTGAAAACCTGACAGAGACGGTGGATGGGACATATACAATGCTGACTTTGAATAACCATATATGGAGAACTGAAACGCTTATTAAGGATTTTCGATGGCCTATATCTGAAGTCATATTAGACAACAGGCAAAAGCCCGTATGGCAAAGCCTAGCAGCAGTATATTCATTTATGACTCCCAGTGTAAGTGGTGCCAGCAGCAGCTGAAAAATATGAAAACTGTAGTAGCAGTTAGAGTGAAACAGCATTAGTAGGTCAAGTAAGTCGGTGAGATAATTAATGATCACTGACTCCATCAGTTTATACTTTTAAAACATAGCCCTGCTGCACCAGTGGGCCAGCTCCTGTGTTTCTGTGTGTTTGTGTGTGAATAAAGCGTAAAGGCCTCTAACTCTTTTATTCTTATTCATTTATTTTCTCCCTCATTAGCTTCTCTGTACCAACTCCCTGGTTAAATCCCCTCTCCTAACATACATGAGATTTGTTGTTTTGACTACCTGTTGGAATGATGTCATCGTGGTGTTAAGCATGATTATTGTGAGTGTACATCACTGTTTATCCAATATTAGCAGTGAGATATGGATCAATGGTCTGGTAAGCTCGTCATCAGCCTCTTTGTTGGTTTCCAGCAGGGTCAGTTCGAGGTTTCTTTGAGATGATCACAGAATATTTTCAAGCGTCTCACAGCCTGAGGTCACTGCCAGGCCTATATTTGGATCACACCAAGACAGTAGTGACTGTGCAATGTGTCTGTACAATGCAACACACACGGTGGAAAGTTTATTCCACTAAAGGTGCCCGATATTTTCTGCGTTCTGTCTGTCAACTTTCTCCACCCACGAAGGGACTTTACAAGATCAGGTCTGTGAATTCTGTGCGTGTGTGCGCGAGAGAGGAAGAGCGAGAGAAGGCACACTTCCTAAAGAGGCCACAGGAGGGCACGCAGTTTTCACGAGTACTAATAAACACTCTGTGTCGTCCCAGTTGTTTAAACTAAATTTTGGCCCAATTGCTATTTTCATTGAAAAATGGCGCTTTGCTTATGAAAATGCACGAGTATGCATGTGTACCGCTGTAAACTCGTGGTCCGTGTGTGTGGTTATTTCACAAAACCTATAACCGCTGCCTCTATAAATATTGGCTTCCTTTTCCTTTTCCTTTTCTATAAATATCTCTCAATTACTATAGTTAACTCCTCGGTGAACTAAATCGAGTCTTTCCTAGAGCATAGTCAAATGAGAGCGTCAGAAATTTCCGTGCCCATGCAGCGCGTCTACCAAAGAAGTAAATTCCACCCCTCTGTCCGTCTCATTTGTTTGTGGTTATGCCTCTCAGTGTCTTTCTCCCTCTTTCACTCTCATAATGCTCAGCTCGGTAAAACTCGTCACTTTCCGATGATCGTTTTCCGGAATCTAACCCAAATATGGAGCATGGAGGGTGGGCCCGTTCGTGCCGGATTCAACCTTATATGGGTTACGCCTGAGACCGGAATTCCTCCTCTTTTGATCGCAGAGCGCTATTAAACAGCATATGCGCGAGAATAAACGTGCAAACGATGATAAGACAGGTGCATTAGTGAGGGCTGCACGCGCTTTTTATTGTGTGCTCTTGCTGTCAGGTTCTGCGCAGGTTGTTGCAATTTTGCAGCAGGTGGAAAAAGTCGGTCTTATCTATCCTGGAGCAACGGGCTCTCCATTGACAAGAGATTCCCTTTGAAAGCGTCATGGAGCCTCCCGACCAATCAGCTTCTTCGTTCTTCTTCGACTGCCCCGCCCACTTCCATATTTGGTTAATGACGTTTTGAAAAGGTTCCCCATACATACTAGTGTCAGGGCCGCCGTTCCCGTTACTTTACACCGTTTTAACTCGATCATCAGAGCATATGAAGCGCACCAGAACACGGAGCTCATCCTTTAACACACGCTGACTGACAGAGACATGCAGTGGTGACCCCCTGCGTGGCTGGGTTACATATCCCCTATTTGTGATCAGCTTTGAGGTAAAGAACAGAAAGAACAGGACAGAGGGCAAGGAGACGCGCTAACTTCGATCCTTCTACAATGACGGCTAAAACTCTGGAGAAAGTGCCGGTGAATCTCGGAGGGTTCGCGCATGCCGAGAGCGTGTACTCCATGGATGACATTGCTACCAGTTTGCCGACCTCTGTGGCGATCTTCCCCAACAACGACTTGGGAGCGCATTACGACCAGATTAATGTGGCAGCAGGTAAGAAAACAGTGTGTGTGTGTGTGAAACATTTTATATATCCAACATCCAAAAACAAAACAAAAAAAACTTCTTTTTTTTTCAACATTTCGCAAATGACTGCAAGAAAGAATAACACGGACACATTTCTTTTAAATTTTGGAGTGCTGTAGAAGTTTGGGATGGTAGGAGCGCAGTCCGTGCGTAACGGAACACAGATGCACCTGCTCTCTGTCACTTAAAGCCCACTTTCCGGTCTAGTGTGAAGAGGTTAATGAATCATGCTTTCTGATTTGTTTCCCCCCGCAGATGGCTTGATGGGCGCAGACATGAGTGCAGAAAAACGCTCCCTAGACCTCTCTTCATATTCCAGCAGCTTCTCGCAGCCTGCAGCCCATCGCAACCAGACCTTCACCTACATGGGGAAGTTCTCCATCGACTCTCAATATCCAGGTAACTGGAACCCCGAGGGAGTGATCAACATCGTCTCGGGGATCTTCAACGTGGCCCAGCCGCCTCCTCCTCCTCCTCCCTGCTCTTCAGCGTCCTCCTCCCCGGCTTCTTCAGGATCTCCCAATCACTTCTCCAGTGGTAATTTGAGTTGCACCATGGCGGCTCAGAGCCAGGCAGAGCTAGAGCACCACCACCACTTGTACTCACCACCGCCTCCTTACTCCACCTCCGGCTGTGGGGAGGTATACCAGGACCCCTCTGCATTTTTGTCCACCTCTACCTGCCCCATCGCCTCTTACCCTCCACCCTCCTACTCGTCACCCAAGCAGCCCGGAAGCTCAGACGCACCAGGGCTTTTCCCCATCATCCCCGACTATTCGGGCTTCTTCCAGCCGACTTGCCAGCGGGACATGCACACAGCAGGCATCCAGGATCGGAAACCGTTTGGCTCTTGTCCCCTTGATACCTTCCGTGTCCCTCCACCTCTGACCCCCCTGAACACTATCAGGAACTTTACTCTGGGGGCTCCGGGTAGTGGTGCCTCCGAGGGAGGGGCGCCGAGGCTCCCCTCTGCGTACAGCCCACAGAATCTGCCCCTGCGGCCAATCCTGCGACCCAGAAAGTACCCGAACAGACCCAGCAAGACACCAATCCACGAGCGGCCGTACCCCTGTCCAGCGGAGGGCTGCGACCGGCGCTTCTCGCGATCAGATGAATTGACCAGACACATCCGCATCCACACTGGACACAAGCCCTTCCAGTGTCGGATCTGCATGCGTAACTTCAGCCGCAGCGACCACCTCACCACTCACATCCGTACGCACACGGGAGAGAAGCCGTTCGCCTGCGACTTCTGCGGCCGCAAGTTTGCTCGGAGCGACGAGAGAAAGAGACATACAAAAATTCACCTGAGACAGAAAGAGAGGAAGTCCTCCACTGTCTCCTCTTCCTCCTCTTCCTCATCCAGCAGCTCCGGACTGGACCGGTTATCAGGCGGCATCAGCGCAGCCAACGGGATCTGTTCGTAGGTTTCCGTGGAAAGCTTTGCTGCCACCGAGGCAGTGTGAACTAAAACTAAACTAAGAAGAAAACCTAAAACAGAAGGGTACCATCAGAACAGTTCTTCAGCTATTGTGAACTGAAGACCGCGGTCCAATCACCAGGATGGGAATAAACAAGAACTTTTGTGCAGCGGTGCGCAGATACGCACATTCTCCCATTCCTGCCGCAGAACTGAGTGAAGGACTGACACGAATGCACTTTGACTGCACAGTCTATTGAAAATACAAATAAAAAAGCCAATACAATTCATACAAAATTAATAGATCATTTGTAATGTAAAGGGGACTTTATGAAATAAAATCTAGCCAACACTTAACTAAGAGCCCAGCTTTTGTGCGCGAATGTGAAATAACTGCAATAACGTTTCAAAGAAATTAAACAATTTTAAGTTATTAAATTGACAATGAATTCATCTTAACATGTTTGTGGAACTCTTAATTTTCCCTTTAGTGCCTTGCTGTGTGTCTTTTTGTACACATACTGATTCAAGGACGCTTCTATCGCAATGTATATTTGTCCTTTCATATGTAAAGTTGGAGACATTCTATTTTTGTACGCATTTTGTCTCGTGTAACTCCATTTGTTCAGCAGTTGTGGTTAATGTTTAAACCATGTTGGAGTGTAAATGTTTGACTCATAGCGACTTGACCGTTTTGATTTGATTTGATTTCTTGTTGTTGTCGCTGTTGTTGTTGTGATGTGTGTTTTGAGACTTATTAAATGGATCAGAATGATAAACACAGCCGGTAGAGTCCGATTGGTTCATTGCTCTAATCTGCAGCACCCGAAAGCTGCTTTTATGAGACCTACCGGGTCACTGCGCTGAAAGTAGTGAACGGTATACTTTTTATTTGCATTCTAAAAAGATCTGTTGACGCTGGAAATTTTAACGGGTAAATCCCACGTTGCGTCACCAATGGCATCTCTGACTCAGACTTTTGCCCACTCAGTTTTTATTTAGGTGTCACATCAGGTTACAAACAGGCTATCATATGCAAATGATTGGTTTTACGCTCGCCGACAGCAGCAGAACAAGTCCGTGCTTTGACGCAGCGAAGGTGGAATAAAGCATTTGCACAAACTTTAGAAGTTTAGATAAAACATGCGAAGCGCACAGCATCTACATCTCACACCACTTTGATGCGGTTCGTTACTTTAAAAATGAACTAGATCTAAGAGGAAATATGTGTTTATGAGAGGCAACAACAAAGACGAACGATACTTCCACACAATTCATGAAATGAAATCATTTTACAAGTGCTGCAACAAACACATTTAATCCTAAAGTTTACTTATCTGGGGTTATTTGTTAGGTGAATAGTTAAAGAACCATTTTTGGAATCACGGAGACTAATCGACTTCAGGTCTATTGATCAGTGTGGAATCCCTATTCACAAGCATTTCTATAATAATAATAATAATAATAATAATAATAATAATAATAATAAAAAGCTTTGGTATATAAAGTAAATTGTGTTTAATTTGCTCCTTCAAACTGTTACTTTTACAAACTTTAATAAATATTTTTTTAAATGGGTCTCCTATTTATCTTCAAATGTTTATTTTTCCGTGTGTGTGCGTGTTTTTTTTTATTATTATTATCTGTTGTGAATCAGAAGCAAACGCCTCTCAGCAATGGGAAAACGGCGGTCACCTGTTTCCTTTCCATTTACCAAATGTCTGTATATGAATAAACACCCGGATGTGGTTCTTTTCACTTGTGGTGGAGCCGAATTATTTATGGCTGTTTTACTTGAGGCTTTTTTTAGTATTACACATCATAAATAGTATGTAGCGATGTAGAGTACTAAATGCGTCATTGACTAAAAACAAAGCAGAATTTTGGTCGTATTAAGGAAAAACTGCAGTTTGCTGTGCCTTTGAGAAGCAGTGAGAGAAAACACAATTTTATTCGGGTTTCTCGTTCCTCTCAGATAGCATATAGACAAGATTTCTCTCAAAGTAAAGGGATTTCCTTGGCAATAAAGAATCTTCTACTAATGAAAATATACGATTTCATGAAAACCGTGAAATTCTTCTAAAGAGTCATTTTAATGTTACACATGTTCAGATATTGGTTAAAAAATTGCACTGTTTTCTCAAAACTACAATTTTAAGACTATTCACGAAATAATTTTGTACACACTCCATAAAAATACTGTTTACTAATGACAAAAATGCAACTATGTCCAACACCTGCCTGACTGCATTGGAGTTCCAGAAAAATGAGGAAAAATATGAAGTAAAAGCAGAAAAACAGACCGCAGCTGCACACTGTCCTTTCTACCTGTTTCTGTGTAAAGCTGAACGTAAGTTAACCGGAGACTGCGTTGTCCAATTTGTCCTGCTTACGTTTTTCTTTCTTTGTTTTCAGTCTGAGACGATCGACTGGCAAAAAGTGATTTCGATATTTCTTAGTGCTCTATGTTTGCTTTACATTTTCTTTTTCTCCTTTTTGATAAATAGAGCGTAGTCAACAGGACTTGAGATAAAGACGAAATAAAGAAATGACCTGTTTTTGAAAGTGTCTCTTGAGTCCGTTCTGGCCACTTAAACTATCCTGATAAAACTGTGATGTTAAATTTGTTGCCATTACTGCTGCACTCTATGTTAGATCTGTGTCGAAAAAAACACTTTTAATGACACATTTTACGCAGATAAATAAAGGATATAAAGTGACTTTACTAAAACCCGATTGCAGATTCTACTTTGGCAGTAAAGTTGTATGCGAGAAAGTGATACGGACAAACACTTTCTGGCATGCAGACACACGCACAGCCTTGCAAACAGTATGCTTTAGCTGCCTGTCTGTAGGGGGCAGCGTCAAAAATATGTGGAACAACCGGTTTTCGGGCGGCTGTTTGTGCTGTTCTTGGACCTTACTGCGTTTTTGATCGTTGGTGTTTCTGTGCAAGCAGTCAACATCTAACTGTTGTTTATTTATCTGTTGCATGTCTGCATGCAAACACATCTGCATGGGTTGCATACCCACATTCCTTTGCTGCATGTAGCCAAATACTTACATGAATGAAAGTTAACAGTACTGTGATTACTTTTGAGATTCACTCTTAGAGGACAAACCCAGAAACCTTCAGTTAAAAACCGAAGTCTGCAAAAGCTGAGAGCCAAAAGTAATATTTCAAGTCTTGATTTCTTCTACTTAGAAATGTGAGGAAAAGAATAATTATGGGTTTATTTATAGTAAATTCAGTTTGCTGTGTTACGCCTAGATTATCATATAATGTTAGCCAACATGAAATGCAGATATGCTTCTACATGGGTCAGTACAGTAGTGTGACCATTAGCTCCCAGTGACTTTTACAAATTCTTTAGGATGGTCATGGTGGTTGCCCAATTGATATTAGTTCGGACAAAGGCCTATTTCTGTTAAAAGGGAGTTCTTGCTTCCTGCAATCACCAAGTGTTTGCTCACAGGTGATCAGCTGATCAGGCTCTCTCTCTAATATTGTCCTATCTTCACTCTACAGTATAAAAAACATTGATCTGAACTGTTACTATATGAATAAAACTAAACTGAAGTGAAAGATGTTTGAATGTTCACGTCCACTCTAGCTTCATTACAACAGTTCAGTTCAATTTTTTTTAAATTTATATTATTATTTTATTTATAGTCAATAACAACAGTCGCCTCAAGGCACTTTATATTTTAAGGTAAAGACCCTACCAAAGAAAACCCCAACAAACAGACAACCGCCTGAACAAGCACTTGGTGAGAGTGGGAAGAAAAAACTCCCTTTTAACAGGAAAAAACCTCCAGCAGAACCAGGTTGAGGGAGGAGGCGGGGCCATCTCTCGCGACTGATTGGGGGCGAGGGTAGGAAGGTGCGATAAAGACGCACTGCAGAAGAAATGATTAAATGCAGAGTGGTGTATAAACGCATATTAAATGAAAAACTGAGTGAAGAAGAAACACTCAGGGCATCATGGGAGCAGTTTAGGTCTTTTGCACCGTAAATAAGGGAGGCGAGCCATGTCACCTGATCCAGTCCTAACTATCAAAAAGGAAAGTTTTAACCCTAATCTTAAAAGTAGAGAGTGTGTCTGTCTGAAAGCTCGTTCCACCAAAGAGGGGCCTGAAAACTGAAGGCTCTGCCTCCCATTCTACTTTTAACTACTGTAAGAACCCCAAGAAACCAGCAGTCAGAGGGCAAAGTGCTCTATTGGTAAGATACTACAAGGCTTTTTGGATGGGATGGGGCCTGATTATTCAAGACCTTGTATGTGAGTTGGAGGGTTTTAAGTTGGATTTTGGATTGAATGAGTGAAGCCAGCCTTTTTGATGAAGCACATAGTCGTGGCAGGATCAGGTGACTCTGAATGATCCCTTAATTAAGCTGCAGTGGGTGGAGGCTGCTGGGAGCTCCCCACGATGCACTGGGTGTTTCTTCTTCACTGACCGTGTGATTACACATCATGAATTATTACTAATCTCTCCTCCACAGTGTGTTTTTTGTCCAGTCTTTCTCGTGTCACCAGGTTGCAGAGGATGGTTGCCTTTCCATGAGTTTGCCTTTACTGGCAGTTTCTTCTTTTTAAAAGTGGGGAGGAAGATTTTTGCTCAAAGGGAGCTGTTTGATTCGGGATTTTCTCAGATTGTCTCAGTCTTTCCATCTTGGTCAGTCGCTGTGAAAATCATCAACTCTGCCACCGTCTCCACACCATACATCATAGCAGGTCTCACTGCTATCTTGTAAATCTTCTCTTTCCTTCTTGCTGCTTTCTTTTGTTACAAATTACCCCTGAAACTAATCTCCACCCACACCACCCTGTCTGCACCCTCCTCTTCAGCTCTCCTGTTCACTGCCCATTGCTTTGGATGCTTGAGCCCAAGTATTTCAGCTCATCTACCTTCACTATCTCTACTCCATGTCTGCTCACCTTTCCACCTCCTCTTTCTTGGCATGAACTGCTGCATACTGATCATTAGTCTGCTTCTTAATCTCACATTTAAAAAAATCTGTCAATGTAACTTTTAACTGTGACCCTCTGCAGTCAACAATTGAGCCACTGTACTGTCACTGTATCAGCACATGCAGTAGCTTTCAAACTGGTATTTTACTCTGCAAAAAATGAATTAATAACTGATCAAATGAATAAATGAAGTGTAATCTCTATCAACATTTGTTTTCATGTATTATTCTGTCCTTCCCTGTTTCTTTGTCCTTTTGTTGTGTTATTTTCTTCCTTTTCCTTGTTCCTTGTTTGCTCCTGGTGTCTAATTTCATTCATGAAATTCTGTGTTCATATTATTTGTATTAACAGGACATGGCGGAAAAATCATGGCGGCAACGGAGAAT